AAGTGTCTAAGTGAGTGTCTAAGTGAGTGAGTGAGTGTCTAAGTGAGTGAGTGTCTAAGTGAGTGTCTAAGTGAGTGAGTGTTTAAGTAAGTGTCTAAGTGAGTGAGTGTCTAAGTGAGTGTCTAAGTGAGTGAGTGTCTAAGTGAGTGTCTAAGTGAGTGTCTAAGCGAGTGTCTACGTGAGTGTCTAAGTGAGTGAGTGTCTAAGTGAGTGTCTACGTGAGTGTCTAAATGAGTGTCTAAGTGAGTGAGTGTCTAAATGAGAGAGTGTCTAAGTGAGTGTCTAAATGAGTGTCAAAGTGAGTGTCTAAGTGAGTGAGTGAGTGTCTAAGTGAGTGAGTGAGTGTCTAAGTGAGTGAGTGTCTAAGTGAGTGTCTAAGTGAGTGAATGTCTAACTGAGTGAGTGTCTAAGTGAGTGTCTAAGTGATTGAGTGTCTAAGTGAGTGTCTAAGTGAGTGAGTGTCTAAGTGAGTGTCTAATTGAGTGTCTAAGTGAATGTCTAAGTGACTGTCTAAATGAGTGTCTAAGTGAGTGTCTAAGTGAGTGAGTGAGTGTCTAAGTGAGTGAGTGTCTAAGTGAGTGTCTAAGTGAGTGTCTAAGTGAGTGTCTAACTGAGTGTCTAAGTGAGTGACTGAGTGCCTAAGTGAGTGAGTCATTGAGTGAGTGTCTAAGTGAGTGAGTGTCTAAGTGAGTGTCTAAATGAGTGTCTAATTGAGTGAGTGGGTGTCTAAGTGAGTGAGTGAGTGTCTAAGTGAGTGTATAAGTGAGTGTCTAAGTGAGTGTCTAAGTGAGTTAGTGTCTAAGCGAGTGTCTAAGTGAGTGAGTGTATAAGTGAGTGTCTAAGTGAGTGAGTGTCTAAGTGAGTGAGTGTCTAAGTGAGTGTCTAAGTGAGTGTCTAAGTGAGTGAGTGTCTAAATGAGAGAGTGTCTAAGTGAGTGTCTAAGTAAGTGTCTAAATGAGTGTTTAATTGAGTGAGTGAGTGTCTAAGTGAGTGAGTGAGTGTCTAAGTGAGTGTATAAGTGAGTGTCTAAGTGAGCGTCTAAGTGAGTGAGTGTCTAAGCGAGTGTCTAAGTGAGTGAGTGTATAAGTGAGTGTCTAAGTGAGTGAGTGTCTAAGTGAGTGTCTAAGTGAGTGAGTGTCTAAGTGAGTGTCTAAGTGAGTGTCTAAGTGAGTGAGTGTCTAAGCGAGTGTCTAAGTGAGTGAGTGTATAAGTGAGTGTCTAAGTGAGTGAGTGTCTAAGTGAGTGTCTAAGTGAGTGTCTAAATGAGTGTCTAAGTGAGTGAGTGTCTAAATGAGAGAGTGTCTAAGTAAGTGTCTAAACGAGTGTCAAAGTGAGTGTCTAAGTGAGTGAGTGAGTGTCTAAGTGAGTGAGTAATTGAGTGAGTGTCTAAGTGAGTGAGTGTCTAAGTGAGTGTCTAAATTAGTGTCTAAGTGAGTTTCTCAGTGATTGAGTGAGTGTCTAAGTGAGTGAGAGTCTAAGTGAGTTTCTAAGTGAGTGTCTAAGTAAGTGTCTAAGTGAGTGTCTAAATGAGTGTCAAAGTGAGTGAGTGAGTGTATAAGTGAGTGAGTGTATAAGTGAGTGAGTGTCTAAGTGAGTGTCTAAGAGAGTGTCTAAGTAAGTGTCTAAGTGCGTCTGTCGTTCCGGCTTTCTCTTATTCAATGTATCAAATGCAGGCGCCTATTAGTGGATATGAACTGGAAAATACAATAAAATATTTACATTGAATTTCTGTAAGTGGGTGAGTGAGTCTCCCACACTCCCTTCCAACCACCCACCCACCCACACACCCACCCACCATCCCACCCTTCCACCCACCCACCCTCCCACCCTCCCACCCTCCCACCCACCCACCCTCCCACCCACCCACCCACCCTCCCTCCCATCCTCCCACCCACCCACCCATCCTCCCACCCACCCAGCCACCCACCCTCCCACCCACCCACCCACCCTCCCACCTACCCACCCACCCATCCTCCCACCCACCCACCCACCCTCCCACCCACCCACCCACCCACCCTCCCACCCACCCACCCATCCTCCCACCCACCCACCCACCCTCCCACCCACCCTCCCACCCTCCCACCCACCCACCCACCCTCCCACCCTCCCACCCTCCCACCCACCCACCCTCCCACCCACCCACCCACCCTCCCACCCACACACCCTCCCTCCCATCCTCCCACCCACCCACCCATCCTCCCACCCACCCAGCCACCCACCCTCCCACCCACCCACCCACCCTCCCACCTACCCACCCACCCATCCTCCCACCCACCCACCCCCCTCCCACCCACCCACCCACCCACCCTCCCACCCACCCACCCTCCCACCCACCCACCCATCCTCCCACCCACCCTCCCACCCACCCTCCCACCCTCCCACCCACCCACCCACCCACCCTCCCACCCTCCCACCCTCCCACCCACCCACCCACCCTCCCACCCACACACCCTCCCTCCCATCCTCCCACGCACCCACCCATCCTCCCACCCACCCAGCCACCCACCCTCCCACCCACCCACCCACCCTCCCACCTACCCACCCACCCTCCCACCTACCCACCCACCCATCCTCCCACCCACCCACCCACCCACCCTCCCACCCACCCACCCACCCTCCCACCCACCCATCCTCCCACCCACCCACCCACCCTCCCACCCACCCACCCACCCTCCCTCCCACCCACCCACCCACCCTCCCACCCACCCTCCCTCCCACCCACCCACCCACCCTCCCACCCACCCACCCTCCCACCCACCCACCCAACCACCCTCCCACCCACCCATCCTCCCACCCACCCACCCACCCTCCCTCCCACCCACCCACCCATCCTCCCACCCACCCTCCCTCCCACCCACCCACCCATCCTCCCACCCACCCACCCACCCTCCCACCCTTCCACCCACCCACCCACCCACCCTCCCACCCTTCCACCCACCCACCCACCCACCCATCCTCCCACCAACCCATCCTCCCACCCTCCCTCCCACCCACCCACCCATCCTCCCACCCACCCACCCACCCTCCCACCCTTCCACCCACCCACCCACCCATCCTCCCACCAACCCATCCTCCCACCCACCCTTCCACCCACCCACCCACCCTCCCACCCACCCACCCTCCCACCCTCCCTCCCACCCTCCCACCCCCCACCCACCCACCCTCCCACCCACCCACCCATCCTCCGACCCACCCACCCACCCACCCTCCCACCCACCCACCCATCCTCCCACCCATCCACCAACCCACCCTCCCACCCACCCATTCTCCCTCGCACCCACCCATCCTCCCACCCACCCATCCACCCACCCACCCACCCATCCTCCCACCCACCCTCCCTCACACCCACCCAACCATCTTCCCACCCAACCATCCTCCCTCCCACCCACCCATCCTCCCACCCACCCATCCTCCCACCCACCCACCCACCCATCCACCACCCACCCACCCACCCTCCCACCCACCAACCCACCCACCCTCCCACCCACCCATCCTCCCTCCCACCCACCAACCCACCCACCCTCCCTCCCACCCTCCCTCCCACCCACCCTCCCACCCTCCCACCCACCCACCCTCCCACCCACCCATCCACCCACCCACCCACCCTCCCTCCCACCCACCCTCCCACCCACCCACCCATCCTCCCACCCATCCTCCCACCCACCCTCCCACCCACCCACCCATCCACCCATCCTCCCACCCACCCACCCACCCTCCCACCCACCCATCCACCCACTCACCCTCCCTCCCACCCACCCATCCTCCCACCCACCCACCCACCCTCCCACCCACCCTCCCACCCACCCTCCCACCCACCCTCCCACCCACTCTCCCACCCACCCTCCCACCCACCCTCCCTCCCACCCACCCACCCACCCTCCCACACACCCACCCACCCTCCCACCCACCCTCCCTCCCACCCACCCACCCACCCTCCCACCCACCCACCCTCCCTCCCACCCACCCACCCACCCTCCCTCCCACCCACCCACCCACCCAACCACCCTCCAACCCACCCACCCACCCATCCTCCCACCCACCCACCCTCCCACCCACCCACCCACCCACCCTCCCTCCCACCCATCCACCCACCCTCCCTCCCACCCACCCACCCATCCTCCACCCACCCACCCATCCTCCCACCCACCCACCCACCCTCCCACCCTTCCACCCACCCACCCTCCCACCCTTCCACCCACCCACCCATCCTCCCACCAACCCATCCTCCCACCCACCCTCCCTCCCACCCACCCATCCTCCCACCCACCCACCAACCCTCCCACCCTTTCACCCACCCACCCACCCATCCTCCCACCAACCCATCCTCCCACCCACCCTTCCACCCAACCACCCACCCTCCCACCCTCCCACCCTCCCTCCCACCCACCCACCCACCCTCCCACCCACCCACCCTACCACCCTCCCACCCACCCATCCTCCCACCCACCCTCCACCCACCCACCCATCCACCTACCCACCCACCCTCCCACCCATCCTCCCTCCCACCCACCCATCCTCCCACCCACCCACCCATCCACCCACCCACCCACCCACCCTCCCACCCACCCATCCTCCCACCCACCCACCCTCCCACCCACCCATCCTCCCACCCACCCTCCCTCCCACCCACCCACCCATCCTCCCACCCACCCATCCTCCCTCCCACCCACCCATCCTCCCACCCACCCACCCATCCACCCACCCACCCTCCCACCCACCCTCCCTCCCACCCACCCTCCCACCCACTCACCCTCCCACCCACCAACCCACCCACCCTCCACCCACCCACCCACCATCCTCCCTCCCACCCAACC